CACCCTCAAGTGTAATTGACCAGCCTCTGGTATAAAGGAAAGAATTAGAAAAGGAAAACCCATCTAAATAAGAGATGGTGCTGGCCTGGTCCAGCATGAAGCCGAGATGCTGGACAGAAGTAGAAGGCTCGCGCTTAAGAAGGAATTTGTGGCTGGAACTCTCACTGATAGGGTAGAAAGAGAGGAGGGAAAGGCTTGATTGAGGGATGAGCTTTAAGCTTCAGAGGGATGGATGAACTTCATGCTTATCATGCAGTTTCCATAAATATTTCTTACCTTAATAGAAACCTAACAATGAAGAGTTGTTTCTTGGCTCCCCTGCATGGTTGATCAGAGGAGCAGAGGTGGCTACTTTTGCTTTGGAGGGCAGCTTGAGCAAATGGAAAGGTTGACATTGTTTGAAGAAAATAAAGTAATCTGGCCCCAACCTAGCTGATGGAAAGCCATCCTGCATTCCTACAACACATCTATGGACAAAAGTGAACAGGTATTTTTTTCAAGAAATACTTCTCAGTCTCTATTGCCAAGAAAATGGGTAATCTCTCAAACCTGCCTCCAAAGGGCCTGCCAAAGAAGATGGCCCAGTGATTTTGTTAAACTTCTCAAATGCATGTGTCCAGTCAACTACTAAGCCCTAGAAAATTCCTGTCATCTTCCAATAGTACATGTGGATCTAGCAACCTGGCATCCTGGGGAAGAATGCTATTTACATGCTCCTCAACAACTAAGCACATTGACTTTCCAGGAGGACTTGCTGGGGGAAAAAACTAAATACTGAAATATATCCACTAAAAATAATTATTTTTATTTTAGAATAATTAGTATCAATTTTTCCTCACCATATGGAGTGATCTATTATGTATTAAGGTCATTTTAGTGTGTGACAAAGTTAATTTGCATATTAGAGGCTTTTATCTTGCTTTTCTCAGTATCAGGGATCAGGTTTATCATTAAAAATATGTTCTATTTGGGTAAGGAAGAGGGTGTAACAATATACCCTGCTTTTGCTGATATCACAATTATCTTTTGAAATGCCAGCAATCTGCTACCCCGTTAGTGTATTAAAATGCAGAATTTGAATATGTACATTAACCAGGAGGCTTTAGAAAACCCATAAAGTTATAAACCATCTCTTGTCTGCTAAGATCAAAGATCTTTAAAGGACACTAAGAGTAGTGATTTTGTTGGGTTTCTTGACAAAACACTGTAACTATGTCAATAGCAGAGGACTTGAATATTAAAATCATTTGCTCCTTATGTAAAATGTGAAGTCAATAGTTACATCTCGAGATACCTAGAACTATTTTGAGAGAGAACATGAAATTTAGGTGGACCCACCAATTCTCTAGTTTTTGAGAAGCTGTGAAAATACGCTCGTGAAGAGAGGAACCCACTCTTTTCCAACAAGATAGAAGGTATGTTACAAGAAAAACCAAGTCACCCTCTTTAGCACCACAGTCACAGAGTGAAATACATTCCTGGGAACATTTCTAAGAGACAAAGTCCCACCTCTTCGAATCCAAGCTTCTGGAGATTATTAAGTAATCTCAAATCCTCTGAAATCAAGCCAGTGTTTGTTCTTCAGAATGTTCAATGTGAGGCTGGGGAAGCAGGGTGGAGGTGATAAAGATTTTTACAGATGTTTTGCTCCTTTGAATTACTGGTTAGTAAGAAACAGCCAGCTCCAGTTCATTAGAGTCTGGATTTTGTGCTTACACTGTAAAGCCTGTTCCCTGGGTGTGGTTCGCGCAGTTCAGACAAGCCACTCACAAGCAGAAAAGAAAGTAGATGTTGTTGACTGGGTTTAATTCAATACCAGTTTCGAGGCAGGTGGCAGCTAAAATATTTGTTCATGCTTCATGGGAGGAAAAATGTAAGAGATCTGTAAAATCCAAGGAATCAGAAGGTTTCTGACCTACAACCTCCAAATTAACCCAGGCTCCCTGACTTATACCAGTGGAAATTAGGCTGAATCTTCAGAACAACAAAAATCTCGAGTTTTACAAATGAGCATCATCCCCCAAAATAACATTCTTACATTTTAAGTTACTTAAAAAATTTTTTTCAAGTTACCTCCAGTTCATATTTATATCAGAAAATGTCTGCCTCTTAAATCCTTACAAAGGTTTGATATAATTATTACCAGCATTGGCAAACTCTGAAAAACACTGATTTCTCTATTCTGCCCCTAATATCAGAGATATGCCTAAAATATCCAAAGTAGTGTGGTTTTTCAGAAGTGCAAATGAAAAATAATCACACCCCTCGACATGCAAATATCCTTTGGCTCATAAACTAGAGCTGAGTTATTGACAAAATTAAGGATTAGATTACCAGTGTCCCGGACATCAATACCCATCAATCAGGCTGTTAATCACTAGTGTTGGGAGTTTTGTTGTTTTAATATCAGCTAATCTCCCAGCATGCGCATATCCAGTGAAATTGTGAGGAAGACTGTGTAGGGGTGGGGGGATACAAAGTCAGAGCATTTTAGTAAATTGTCTGCCTTGACTAAATTGGTTCTGGCTCAGAAAGAACAACTATAAATACATTCTGCAGATGGAGATTTCAGAGGCTGGCAGTCTCGCCATCACTGTGTATAACATAAATTGGGCCTGGGTATCTGGGTTCTTGCCCTCTTCCCCATGCCCATAATCATGGATAGCAGACCAAGCAGGATCTAGCTGAATGCTCCATTAAATTGGAATAATTAAACATGGCCGTTGTGCTCTTCTAGGGTCTGATTAAACACCTTATAGAAGTCATTACTGAACCCCATCTGGGCTGAGGGCTTGCCAAACAGCAGGCTAAAACCCACAATCCCCATTTCCATGAATATAGAATTTCAAAACTAGGCATTCTATATTCCTTTTAAATTAAGTACTTGAGAACTCAAATAACACCACTCAAGTGAGGAAGCAGCACTTCCCTATATCAGGGTACAGAGATCGGTAGGATTAACCCCGGAACTGCTACTTGACTCTCGCATTGTTATACTATTTGAAGGCCATTGTTCAGCCAACATGGTCCTAAAACCATTCCATTTCTGAATGACTGTGTTGGGGTTGTAGGGGAAGGTCTGATAGTGACCCAAATAGACTGGCAGATGCAGACCCCACTGCTTATACTAATTCCCTTGTTGAGATGAGCTCTGAAATCAAGTGTTTCTCCATAATTTAACAGATTCTTACTCGGTTCTTTCAAAGCAAGAGCTTTTTAGTTGATTTGCACTGACAAAACTGACCTAAACTTGACTGTCCTAATTGTCTACCATCTCATTGTTTGTATGAGGATTATTCCTGCCAGTGACACTGATTTCCGAATGCAAGATTCTATGCTTTAAAATTATCCAAAAATGTTGCCATATATGGAAAGATGTCTGCAAGAAGTCTACCTTCACTTGACTGAAGACCAATTTGGGTATGTGGATTTAGTTCTACCAGATAAATATAGTATATTAATGAACGTGAACATTGAAGTTAGAGATACACATTTAATTCGCAAAGTGTTTGCCAATATATGACCAGTTTCAATAGTCTCACTTGAAAAATTTGACTCGCCCAATCCTCCTGCAATCACCCTTGGCTTTTTTCTCTTCTGAGATTTCATCATCATGGCCTTGTTTCCTCCTGAATTATGCCTTGTGATGACTTGTGTTATAAATGAAGAGGGTAGGGATGGGACAAGTGTTGGTGAGGATATGGAGAAATTGGAATAATCGTGCATTGTTCATAGAAAGGTAAAATGGTGCAGCCACTATGGCAAACAGTAAGATAAGCAGCCGGTAGGTTTCCCTGGCCAGAGACCCCCAGAACAAATCCCATATCAGAGGAAAACATCTGCTGACCATTGAGAAAGACAATAAGGAGAAAGAAAAAAAAAAAAACAAAACAGCTGGAAATGAAGTAACAGGCTTCAGAGGTGCCTGACACAGCAGGATGCCAGAAGTCCATCTAGAAAAAATATGTCAAGTAGCCTAAGAAACTAATTCATGGGCATCTCACTAAGACCCACTCCCCTGCGGGAGCTGCACTGTACTCTCTCTCCCTTAATAAATTCCTAACTTCTTTACATCACTCTGAGTTTCAATTGTTCCTTACTGATGGCTATAGGAGTTTACTTCATTCTTTGAAGTTTGAGTTTCCAAGAACTTGCTTGGGCAGGTTTGTGAAACTTCCCCTGTTTCAGTGGTTCTTCAAAAAATACCATATTGTTAATATATGATGAAGGGGGCACCCAGAGACCCCATATTTTTAAGAGGTGCAGCCCCTTTACAACAATTCAAGTCATCACCATGCACAAAGGCACAGGAAGCAGACTCTTAGTCTGAAAGGTTTTTAGTAGAATTGTATGCACAGAGAAAGGAAAAGATTTCAGATAACAAACTCCCAATTACCCAAATTCCCTAAATTCCCCAACCCCTTAAGGGCAAATGCCCAGCCAAACATATTTGCCTGATGCAGGGCAGAGGCCTGAAAGTTTGCCACAATCTAAGGTAATTTATGACAGGGAACAAGAAGAAAGTGGCTGGATAGTTTCAAAAAGAAAGACTCAAAATTCAAAATATACGGCATCAAGATAATGGGTGCTGTTGTCTCTGCCAAGAACCACCAAGAGCAACCTCCCCACATATCTCTCAGCCGTGTGTCTCTTCCAAGTGTCTGTACATGTTTCTCCTTCATGTGTCTCCTTTTGCTAAAGGGTAGGGTGAGGGGCACCCCAGGGCCCCCAAACCTGCCATTCGAAATAGGTTCTGCCATCCACTACATCAATACAAAACATATTCTAGTGCATAAGACCTTTAATGGAAAGGAACTTTAATGCAAGTTGTGCACAACAAAGAAAAACAAAGAATATGGTTTTCAAATCAAGCACTGGAAATTACCTATGCCCTCGTGGGTAAATGCCCAGCCAAACAGGGTTGGCCTAAAGCAGTGCCACTGAGGCCTGAAAGCCTGCTACAAGTGTAAGGCATCTCCTGGTGGGGACCCAGGAGATGCCAGGGTCAGAAACAGCCAGACAGGTCTGAAAAGAAAAGAGCAAAAATCAAAATCAAGATAAATGCTGCTATTGTTAACCTCCCCATGGGTCTCTCACCCACATCTGTTTCAACCAATTCAGGACCAAGAAGCAAGTGCAGCTTCTTCATATGTCTCTCTGCTCCATGTGCCTCCTCCAGGTCTCCTTCTGGCTCTCCATCCCGCTTCCTTCCTTCTCCAGTCTCCTCTCTGCCTTTTCCTCCTCCCTGCTCACTTCCACCCTTCCTTGGGTTGGGCAGGGGACCTGGAACCTCTCCTTTCCCTGGGGACCACCCTTTTATACTTTCTTGTCTTTCTTTGTTCTATTTCTCTTTATTTTTTTTAAAGATTTATTTATTTATGCATACAAGAACTGGGGTTTAGGCCAGAAGTGCAGGGGCGGGGGGTGAGAGGATTCACCAGAAACAGAGTGGGGAACAGAACAGGCAGACTGACGGAAATACACTGCTGAGGGGAGCAGCGGGCGAGTCAGGAGAGGTTTGCTGCACCATGTGGGTTGCTCCCTGACCAGCGGGGGGATCGAACTCCTGATGCAGAAGTTGCGGATAGCTTCATAGTGCTGTGCTTAACCTCTTGCGGCACCAGGGAGGCCCCTGTTCTACTTCTCTTTACAATCCATCTTGCTTCTTCCCAGGTGCCCCCCACCCAAGAATGATGGTTCTTGGCATGCTGTAACTTGTAACCAAAGGTGACTGCATATATGTGGGGGTGGGGAAAATGGTGCCTCCTTAATACTTTGCAATGTTTCTCCCCTTGCACAGCATTGCCTCTCTAACAATATGATCCAACAATTTCTCTTCTGGGCATTACCCAAAAAAATTGAAATTAGGGATTCAAACAGACATCTACACACCCATACTCACAGCAGCATTACTCACAATAGCCAAAAGAAAAGATGCCCATAGTATTCAGGGTAAAACAGAATGTGGTATGTCCACACAATCTTAAAAAGGAAATTCTAACCCATGCTACAATATGGATGAGTCTTGAAGATACTATGCTAAAGTGAAATCAGCCAATTATCAAAAGATAAATATTTTATGCTAGCATGTATATGAGGTCCCTAGAACTGTAAAATTCATGGAGACAGTAGAATGGTGGTTGCCAGGGACTAGAGGAAGGAAGAATGGGCAGCTGTTGTCCAGTGGGTATGGACTTTCAGATTGGGAAGATGAAAAGAGTTCTGTGGATAGATGGGCAGATGGTTTCACACAATTAGAATGTATTTAATGCCACTGCACTGTACACTTACAAATGATTAAGATGGCAAGTTTCATGTTATATGTACTTCACCTCAATTAAAAATAGATTACAATTTTTTTAACTCTAGGGAGGGGATCTGGATAAGTTAATTTGTGGGGCTTGAGATGGATAAGCACAGAGAATCCAGAAAACTTGTTCTCACACAAAAATAAACTTTTTCCAACAAGTGTGGGAAAATATAAAGACACCATTGAAGTGCTCTTTGGAGGTTAAAGAGCAGCTGGACATTGGTCAATTGCCATGTATTTTGAGAGATGAGAAATCATTCTAAGAAGCTTTGCCCTGGAAGCCCACAAGAGAAGCAGTGAAAGGGGGAGGGTGAGGAAGAAGACCTCTCTCTCTCTCTGAAGAGTGATTAATTTGGTAATTAATGCATAGAAGAGGAAGAATGATTCTAAATGTTTGCTCCAGGCCCTCAATTTTAACAGTTAACTCTGCAATTGGAGCATCTGGTAGAGCAGTGAGGTTGGATGAGCTAAAGAGTGAGATCAGACGCCAGGACAGCAGGGGAAGGGATTAAAGATGAATCGCTTCAGGGGTGCTTGAGGTTTCGGAACTCTGGAAACAATGGTTTTGAAAATGCCTTCAAAGAAGAAAAAGTAGGCCTTTAAGAGAAGGCCCTAGTACTGATTGAGAGGATGAACCACAGAGCTGGAAGACTAAATGCCAGGTAAATGGACAGACTGACAAAAAGACAAATAAACTAAATGCTACGTAGATGGACAGACTGCTGAGAAACACAGGCATATCCATGCTTAACACATGGCCTTATTCATTGAGGAAGTGCTATTTGTGAATTCAGGGCACTTTTATGTTTTGCCTGAGGACAATCTGTACTCAAGATTTGATTAATCTCTGTCAGGATAATCAGGATGGAGACTAAGAAAGCATTACTGCATACCTTTGAAGATAAGAAACCATTGGTAAAGCTCTAATTTTTCAATACTGCCCTAACTCATAAATTCAGACCATTGGACCAGCTTATGACTTGGTTCCCATCATCATTCCCACCCTGGCCATTGGACCCTTGAGCATAATCAAGTCACAGACATGAAACAGGTCAGATTCAAGACTCTCCATTGTCCTACATCACCACTGCAGAGGTACATTGCCCAGTTCTCTGTTCTTCAAAAAGGAGAAATTTCCAGCTCAGCCTGCGCATGAGTTGACAGAATTTGTGTGCATAGAGGACGCTGGGTCAAGGCCCATGCACTGCCACTCAGGGCCTCTTGGGACGGCATGTGATTCACTGGGTGAACCTTTACATGGAGAGGTCACGGTTAACCAGTGCTCTTAGCAATTTTCAAAAGGCTAATTGAGTAACCTCTGTGTATTTTCACAGAACTTCTGTAGGCTCATGCCAGGACAGGGTCACTATTAGGGAACTGAGAAACATCCATCAGTGCACCTGAATGCTTAGGAACAAAAGGGTGAATTTTTAACATGTGGGCCTCCCTGGTGGCGCAGTGGTTGAGCTCTGGGTTGCGAATCTGTCCGCAGCCTCTGCAGCGCTGGTTCGATCCCAGCCCGCCGGGAGAGGGTCCCACATGCCATGCAGACCTCTCCTGCCGCCCGCTGCTCCCCTCAGCAGTGTACTTTGTCAGTCTGCCTGTTCTGTTCCCCGCTCTGCTCTGGTGAATTCTCTCACCATTCCAAGTTTCTGACTGCACCCAATGCTTGTATAAATAAATAAATAAATAAATAAATCTTTAAAAAAAAAAAAGAAGAAGAAGCAGCAGCCTATGAAGTTGTCTGCAGCCTCTGCAGCATGGGTTCTATTCCTGGCCGACTAGGGTTCACATAGCGCAACAGACCTCTCCTGACTTACCCGATGCTCCCCTCAGCAATGCACTTCGGTCATTCTGCCTATTCTGTTCCCCACTCTGTCTCTGGTTACTCTTCTCACCCCAACACCTCTGGCCTATACCCCCGCTCTTGTATGCATAAATAACTAAATCTTTAAAAAAAATTTTTAACATGTGCCCCTTAAGGAGCTGCTCCCATCCAGTGTGCCAGCCTTGGCAGGAAGAGAAAGTAGATCGGACTTTCACTTGATCTGACTGATTTTACTGCTTAGGGCAGAAATTAATTTTGAAGTTGAGAGACGCATTACCTAAAGAGTTGCTAGAACACAAAAGGGTTGCTATGATCCCCACAGATTGCTGATCCACACTGTCCTTCACCACCAGAGCTTGCATGTTGAGGTTAGAAGAGACACGGGCCAGCCTGAGCAGAAAGAAGCAGGAGACAGACTTTCAGTGATTTTTTTGTTAAAGAAGCTCTGCCCTTTTCCGCCTGGGTGGTTGCTCTGAGGAGTCAGGTGATCACCGCCTATGTTTTTTAAGGGTTAACGGTTAGATCTGGCCTTTATTGTCACATATTGTTAAACCCTAGGGAAAAAAATCTCTCATATCAGGACTTTTATTCTCACAGAATTTAGGATCTATTAAATAATAGATAATTTTTTCTCAGCTATAATGTTAGTTTTCTTGGGCATGTGTTCCATAACGGATGTAAATCAATTGCATCTCCTTGTAACAAAACTCCTCATCAGCCCCCGTGATCACGCCCCCTCTTTCCATGATCTTCTTCCTCTACTGTCCCCCAGCATATTTTCACCTAGATATTATTTCAAACACCCACCCTCAGCAGGCATTGGGAAAACATCCTGCGCAATCTCTAAGGAGGCAGAAGTCTGTGGGAGACCACTCATGGGGCACCACCGACTATGTGGAAACATGAGTGCCACCCAAGAGCCGCGGGAGGGAAGCGGGGCCTGCCCGCGGTCTCTCCACCACTCTGTTCTTCGTTTCTACTTCCATCAAGTGGCTGAGAGAAGTGCAAGGGTTCAGACCTCTTTCTGGGCATGCTAGGAAAAAAAGAGAAGCAGTTCTAATATCTCTTCCTTTGGGGATGCCTGAAATCAACCAAATAAAATATGAGTGTTGACCTTGTAAAGTTATCTTTCCCTGCCATTGTGCAACAAGGTGATAGACTGATGCTTCTCAGGTCAAGCCTGCAAACGGCTCTGTAGGTGATGGCTGCTTGCAAGTTGCATGGCGTTGATGGAAACCACACCCGGGAGGTGATGGTTATAAATCAGCCTGAGTGTGTATGTCCTGAGACTCGATGGGCATCAGCAGCAGAACCCAACACAACTGTGGAAGGCAGGCGGGGTACTCTGCTGACCTCAAGGAGCTGCATCACCGACTCCAGGGCAGGTGAGATTAATCTGGGCTACCCCCTGAGTCCCCACTGCTGTCTTGCCTGAGGTCACTCAGCCAGGTGGGAATGAGGAATGGCCGGGCTGGAAGGAGGCACAGTGACTCAAGATGGTGTGTCCTTTTCTTTCCCCTAGAAAACCCAGGGTGTCCGTGCAGAACCCCGTCCCTGCTCCCTGCTAATGGAACTAGGGCATAAGAGGCTGCGGCATCCTCAACGCCAGGAACAGAGACACCAAAGAAACAAATAATGCATTTCCCAGCCAGGGATCAAGTTACTGTAAGGGATCCCAGTTCCTCTCCCTTGCCAAAGTAAATGCTGGAGTAAGCGCAGCACCCACCTCCCTGAAATTAAAAAAAAAAACAAAAAACAAAAAAAAACCTGGTTAAACAAAAGCATTCTGAGGGCCAGTGTCTGGTTCCCACTGGAATCTAAAACCAGTTTTCCTAGTGCCCGTGGCTCTTCAGACACCAAGGAACAGTTGCAGGCTGTTTTCTCTTTGTACTGCTCAGTACAAAATCACTTAATCATATCTATGCTGTACAGGCCTTGAGCCAACCAGGCCACCCCAAGTGCAGTTCTGTAGCTCAGCCAGCTCTACTGCAAGATCGTTTCCAAGCTTCCTCCATGGAATGGAGCTCAACTTGCCAGTCTCGGCTCTGAGTCCATACTCAGGTGATTAGCCGACGGGAGATTTGGATATTGGGAGGAACTGACATAACGGTTCCTCCCTGGGGGTAAGCTCTTGGTTCTTTTCCTCTCTTCAGATGGAATTTAACATCCCAGCTAGGTTGGGTGCTAAAAGCACTTGACTTTGTTGCATCAGCAGCCTTTGGAAGGAGAGAAAGGAGCAGTGGTCTGGAGACCACTTGTGACCGTCTTGCACTTTGACAGCTAACAATGTGCCCTTCCCAGAGAAGGGGCTGCGTGGCATGGTGAAGAGTCACATGTAGTAAAGGGGTTATAGGATGTGTCACCCAAAAGGGGAAGAAGCATTTCAATGCAGGAATGAACCCTGTCTACCCCACCCCTACTTCCAAAGCTCCAACATCTCAGATGCTTTGGGCTATAACTCCTAGGATGTCATGATCTGGATTTCCCAAGTGGGTCTTCCAGGGGGAAGAAATTGGAGGAAAGTGTGTGGTTAAAGAAGAACAGAGGACACATCAACAGGTGGACTCTTCGAGGCTGAGGGCAACTATCATCTTGACCTCATGGTGGATTATCCAGCCTGGATGGCTCATAGTGAATTTTGTGTTTCTCTCCCTTTCCAAAACCAATGGGCCCTGTCCAATCTATAACTTATTTTTCCCTGCTTGGAGGTCATGTAGAGTCCCAGCAAGATTTCAGGCCTCAGCCTCCCCACTTTGGGCCAAGCCTGTTTGGTTGGTCACTTGCTCAAAAAGAAATAGATGGTTTTCAGAGTTTGTTTGGAAGTCTCTGCCATACTCCTCATCGCTGTCTATTCCCTTTAAACCTCTCACTGACTAAAGAGTTTTCAACACAGCAGAGTTCTGTTACTGCTTTGGATGCATGCGGATAGCTGGACCCTTTAGAATGGGAAAAATCAGTTTCCCCCTAACACTTTGGGGTCTCTGGCTCCTCCGTCAGTTTTTCATGGTTTCAATTTTGGTTCCCTAACCAAGAATGAGTCTCCTGGTTACAAAGGGATTAGAATGAGTTCGGGACCGTCAGAACTGTCCTGCATATTGGAAACTCTAACGACAGAGTATGGGCCAACATCTCGGACCTTAAGCCTCAACAATGGGATTATTCCTCAAAGGTGGTTTTCTGCCACTTCAAACAAAATACTCGAGTAATAAATGATGTCCTCAGTGGTTCTCCTTTCCTCCCACTCATTTTCCAAATAAAGGAAGGATTTAATGCACTTTTCCAATTCGTGTGAGAAGTGGGAAGGGAATAAAGTAGCAACAGAGAAACAGACCACGAAAGGAAGGAAGGGAGCATGGGGCATGTGGATATTGGGGCAGTAAACAAATACATGTTTACTCATAATGATAATCACCTTAGAGATTCCCTAGGTGCCAGTCCCTGGCATAGAGCAGTTTTGAAACTTGCTGAATTTCTTCCAGACCTTTCCCAGGATACCTGGTCATGCTGTTTCTCTGACCACTGCTCCCCACTGTCCCCCCACCCCTCTCTTTGGGCCAGCCCTTCTAAGTTTCCACCTTGTGCCTGCTCCTAAAGCCTCCAGTGGTTTTGAAGCCAATTAGACAACTGCCTTGGACTTACAAGAGCCAGTGTAGCTTCTCTTTCCTGTGGCTAAACTTTGCTTATTGCACCTTCTGTCTCTCGTTCAATTCCCACTTCAAGCTGGAGAGTCCCAAACCAGAAGTCTGCTCTTCTGTGTCAATTAGGATGCTTTCAATTATAATTAACAGAAACCCAATTCAGACAGACTTGAACCTAGGGGAATATTTGGCTCACAGAACAGGGAATTGAGGTCAGACAGGTTTCTGATCAGATTTTACCTGGTGGCACAGTGATGTTACCAAGACCCCGTATCATCTCCATTTCTCTGCTCTGACTCCAGGTCAGCTCCATGATGAGGCTGATTCTTCTGCTCCCAGTGGACTGTCCTGCTCTCCCAGGATGGGCTGCTTCCTTCTTCTTCCTCATGTGCAGGATGTGTGTGTGTGTGTGTGTGTGTGTGTGTGTGTGTGTGAATAAGAGAGAGAGACTGACTCTGTTCCAAGATTCAAGAGTCAAGCAAGGCTCCCAAGTTCCCTCTGACCAGATAACATGGCCAGATTTCTCATTTCTGAGCTCATCACATTAGGCAGCTATTGAGTTAGCTCTTCAGTGCCCCCCTGAAACTTGGGTAAGGGGTCCACTTCCCCCAAAGCACATGTAGCATAAGGAAGGGTTGAATTCAAAGACTATATTGAAGGGAAAGACACAATGTCAGGTTGAAAACCCTACATCTTATACAAACCCCCTCCCACCCAGCAGCAACCCCCACCCTGGCCTTCTCATGTCCACCTAATGGGTGACAGCATCCTTTTCCCCACCTCCTGTCCCACCCCCAGGACCCTATCTAAGTGACAGCTCCTCCTTGCTGGTGACAGCTAATCTTTCACCAACCTATGCTTTGAGGAGGTGGGCGGGGGGCTGGGGGAACAGTTCTATCACCCCAGCGCAGGAAATGTGATTTCTCATTTCCATCATTTCTTCTAAGTTCTCACCACTGCTTCCCTGGAATGCGGTGTCCAGCTTTTAGTGGTTCCTCAGGCTTCGCCTCCTGACCCCACATGATCCCCAGACACCACACCATAGGCAACTCGGAGTTGGGAAACACCCATTGCCCTGCCACGCCCTTGACTGAAATGCTTCAGGGCTCCCTGGGGCCTCAGAAAGAGCGCGCCTCCTTCACCTGCGCCCAGCTCTCTCCTCTCATGCCCACCAGCTTCCCAAGCCCACCACGCTGTCCTGAAAAACTCATATTTCCCCTTCAAAATCAAGCTCAGGAACAACTTTGTGGGTGACATCTTTTGAACTACCCCTCTTTTGAACAAGTCTCTCTGCACAACTTGCTTCAGTGCAGAAACTGACCCCAATGTCCTCACTCCTCCGACCGACTTGAAAAAGACACAACTTCCCTCATGAAGTCAATCAGTCCCTTCATCATTTCTTCATACCACACGTGCAGGGCTACTGTCCGTGTGGCAGCATTTTCTACCCCTGCCACCTCACCCATCACCTGACACGCAGAGCCTAATTCTTCTTGGTTTCATGGAAACTGCAATTATGTGTAACCAGTGCTGACGTTCACGGGGCGCTGTTGCCAGGAGGACTCTGAATTCTAGAACATAGGGTTTGTTCCCCTCTGGACTCCTTTCCTCACAGGTCTCCTCCAAGACCTCCTAAAAGGACTCTGGTGCCAAACTGTCTGGGGTCAGACCCAGGATTCTGACCCTTGGAAATGATGTGACCATGAGCTAGTTTCTTAGCCTCGCCGTACACCAGTTTGCCCATGCATGTGCATATTTATATTTTCAGAAAAAACATATTTTGTTGTTTTGTTTCAAATTATATCTGAATGGAATTGTAATAAAATTCTCTTTTTTTCTTGCTTTTGCACTCGTCCTTGGGTTTTGGAGGCTTCACCATGGACTCAGCAGATATAGTTGATGCCTTCTGAATCCTCCAGGGAGTGTGCCCATGGGAAAGCTCCATGGTTCCTTTCCTTGTGGTGCTGGACACCTAGTTGCCCAACACATTACTAATACAGGGAGCACCATGATGAAAATCCTCAGAGGTGCTCCCTTGTGCACAAATGCACAAATCTCTCCCCATAATTTTAATTGATACATGTGTGTATGAAATATGGATGCATACATATGGATATAAATATATGAAAAAAAAAAAAACCCGCGCAGTATGGGATTTTCCTCCCCAATTCCACCACACGTTGCCTGGCCTCTTTCCAGTGACCGTAGAAGTTTCCACTCCAACAGCAATGCTTGAGGGCTCCTTTCCTCCCACATCCTCATCACCAAATGCCATTACCCAGCTTTTGAGTTCTGGCCAACTGGTGTGGGTAATTTGTATTTCTCTGTGATTTGTGTGTGTGTCGTTCTGATTGCTGGGGAGGTTGGGAATCCCTTCCCACCCACTAGGCCTGGAGTCCCCTCATCTGTGACTGACGCACCCACTGTGGTATGCGTGGCCCAATTTTCTATTTCATTTATCTTCTTTTCCTGGCTGATTGGCAATAATTCTTTTTTTTTTTTTCATGTTTTATTTTTTATTATTTATTTCGTTTGTTTGTTTTTGTTTATACATGCACCGGGTACAGTCAGAAGCGCAGGAGGGTGAGAGAATTCACCAGAGCCAGAGCCGGGAGCAGAGCAGGCAGAAGGACCAAAGTACACTGCTGAGGGGAGCAGCGGGCGGCAGGAGGGGTCTGCGCGCCATGTGGGACCCTCCTCTGGTGGCCGGGGAGCAGCCGGGGATCGAACTGGCACCGCAGAGGCCGCGGGCAGCTTCACAACCCGGCGCTCAACCGCTGCGCCACCGGGGAGGCCCTGGCAATAATTCTTTAAATAGTTTGAAAACCAACTTGTATCCATTATAGAAAGTAGATATATTTTCTATATATCCAGAAAATATTTTCATCCATCTGTTAACTTTGTTTGGATGCAAATTCTGTTTTAGACTTTTGAATTAGTGAAGTCAATCGAAGTTCTCTCTTCTGATGTAAAATTTTTTATTCTGTCTCAGTCACGGTTACAAAGACATTCCTCTTCATTTCCTTCTATCTTTAGAGTCATCTAAAGTTTGAAAATCTTTTTGGTTTTTTACCTTTACCTTTTATATTTAGGTGTTTAAGATCTGGAGAGTTGTGCACTTTAACTGTGGGAAGTACTGGATCAGCTTCTTACAATTCTAAAACTTTAGGCACAAATAAAAAGAAGTGGGGCTGAGCATTAAGCAACAAACAGAGAGCGGGTCGGGTTTTGAATAACTCACCCAACTGAATGTCACAGCCTGGAATTTGGCGATGAGACAATCTTTCAGGCATTCTTTCCATAAGCTAAGAATTCCTGGTTAGAGATGACCCATCCTAAACTTTGTCAGCCGCTCTTTGTCCAGTTGGCTTGTATTCTGTCATCCTTGGATGTATTTAATATTTGATGTGAGGCCAAGGAGTAGTGCAGACCTGCCCATCCCCTCTGCATCCCTCTCACACACATGCGTGTGCGCGCGCGTGCACACACACACACACACACACATACACTGGATGTTTATTAGTTGTGGTTCCTTGAATGCTGTTCCCAGGACTGTCCTCAGTGTGTATTGTCACTCTTTGTCTTTCATCATTCTGACTTTTGAGGATGCAGCCACTGGGATTGGCCTGTCTTCAGAGGCACTGACTACGTATTTAACCATGTTCACTTTAACACCAGGAAAGAAAGCCCTGCCAGGGATTGTTGCATTATTGATGGAGACACTGACAACAAAGTTCTCCTCCTCCTGGTGTCCTACTTGTCCCCTTGAGCAGACAGTCATGAAGGCCATCAGCAAAGAGAACTGAACTCAAGTGGTCTCAGTGGACTGGGGTGCAATGCACTGTCCACGGTCTGTCTGAGTTGGATGCTGCCTCCCTGCCTCCCTCACTCCTTTCCACGAACAGCCCCCATGTCTGTTACCTGGTGACAGTGTGGAAGTGACCCCAAACCCTTACACGTCAGGTGGAGTGGCTGACACGTGAAAAGCCAGTCTGATCATGGACGGCCGAGTCAGCCCAGTGTCTGTGGACATCTGTGAGTCCCTGTTCCCTGCCAGGTGGAAATGGAACTTTCCATTTCCCTAGGGGCCACCCTGTTATAATATTTTGTGACTTACGGTTGTATTTACTCATTAGTTATGTGAGCTTGGGCAAATAGCTTCTCTGGGCATGGGAACAGGCCTCTGAAGAGGAAGGGGAAGGAACGTCCTATCTAGAAGAGGTGAATAATGATATTAAGAGTTAATTTTACTGAGCAGTAACTTTTGTGTCAGTTGATTTTCTACGTGCTTCCCTTGTAAGCACTCTCAAGCTTCACAACAGTGCTACAGCAGCGATCAGCCTCCCTTTAAATATGGGGAAACTGAGGCATGGTGAGACTAAGTAGCTTATGAAGCTGGATTGGATGGACTTACTCAAACCTCATGAAAATGGATGCTAAGTGTGGGTGGGGGAATATTAAGGATGGAATTTAAGGGGGAAAGGAGTAAATTAAAATAAACAGGCAAAAGAGGGGCCTTATATGGATCAGTTTGCTTGAACTTAGGAGTATGGTCAGCTTAATTCTGTGCACTTGAGGTCCAGGAAAAGGAAAAGGATAGATGTTTGGCCTAATGAACTCTGTTCTTTTTTTTTTTTTTTTTAAGATTTATTTATTTATTTATACAAGAACCGGGGTACAGGCCAGATGCGTGGAGGGTGAGAGGATTCACCAGAGACAGAGTGGGGAGCAGAACAGGCAGACTGACGAAATACACTGCTGAGGGGAGCAGCAGGTGAGACAGGAGAGGACTGCTGTGCCATGTGGGTTGCTCCGCTGCTAGCGGGGATGGAACCGGCACTGCAGAGGCTGCAGACTGCTTCATAGCGCTGCGCTCAACCGCCTACACCACTAGGGAGGCCCAAAACTCTGTTCTTACCTCATTGGCCAAGGCCTCTAGGCAGGTGCTGGCCAGAGTCAGCTTCGTAACTCACAGGCCCAGTGCAAGATGAAATCAAGTCTCTTTGTGAATACAGCAGGCAACAAGGGAATTACAGATACTAAAATTTAATACCCTTCCCATTCCCTGTCCTCCCTCCCTCCCTTCTTCCTTCCTCGCTCTCTGCCAGGGAGATTTGCTATTGAATGTCCGCTGGCCTCCTTCAACTGGATGAGGGCAAATCCTCACAAGTTCCTGGGACCCTACCCTGAACTCGACAAGGTCCCTTTCTGCCACAGTGGGGTACCATGCTCCAGTCCATGCATGCCCCAAGGGAATGCAATGCCTGGGCCAAGACATGCTCCGAACCTAGACCAGGGTGAGCAAGAGACTCTTCAGTACTGGGCCCCTATGGTCTCCATCTTAAATACCAGATTTGGGCCTCCTCGGTGGCAAAGCAGTTGAGCGCTAGGCTGCGAAGCTGCCCGCAGCCTCTGCAGCGCCGGTTCGATCCCCGGCCACTGGCAAGGGTCCCATCCCACATAGCGCGCAGACCTCTCCTGCCGTGCCTGTTGCTCCCCTCAGCAGTGTATTTCGTCAGTCTGCCTGGTCTGTTCCCCTCTCTGGCTCTGGTGAATTCCTGACCTTCCGGCACTTCTGACTCTACCCAGTGCTTGTATAAATAAATAAATAAATAAATAAATAAATAAATATCTAAAGACCAGATTTTCCCCCTCCCCCACCGTGCCTATGCTCTGGTCCTCACTGGGTGGGAAAACGGCA